ACACTTAACTTTCTTAAAGGGTCAGAAAGCAGTGCTTTTATAGATATTTTACATGTATAAATTATTACAATAAAGATAAATTATTCCTATTGAATATGTTAAATATAGTATAAATAATAAGAAATATAAAAGATATAAAAGATATATGCTATATGTTATATATAAGAGATAGAGAGATATCTAATAAATGATATATATATGATATATGTAAGATATAAAAGATCTATGATATCTATGATATTTGAGAGATTTGAAAGAATTAGGGCTTAGCTAATTTAGTCATTTATATCCAAGTCACATGTACTAGATTTAGTACTTTCATCAAAAGCATTTCGATCTCGTGATCCTGTGATCAGAATCACATGATTTTGTATTCATTAGAACTGTCTCGATGAGCTGAATCTTATGATGGTTGTTTCATCCAGATTGATCTGGTACATCAAAAGTTATGATCGAAAATGTAAAACTTCTAATGTTAATACTACTTAAGGTTAAAAAAAATAAAAAAAAATAAAAAAAAATTAAATAAAAACTTACTTTTAATTTATTTCACAATAAAGAATGCATAAAACCCATAGTAGAAATAAGTCTTTCTACTAAGGCAGTTATAATGCATATGCTAAACAATTGGCACACAATACAACTCAATTCTGATGCAATACCGAAGTTGTATAACTATTAAATAACAGTGTCATCCTTAAATTGATTAAATGGTTTGTCAATAAAAGAATATTTTTGTTGTTTATAAAGCTTGAATTTATGGAGTAAATTGTTTGGATTAGTACCAAACCAATTCTATAATAATATGATAACTGTGCACCTATATAAGTAAAATTAATATATAATTGTGTTTGATTAAAATAATTTAGCTAAAATAAAGGATGAAGAAAAAAGTAATGACTGTTTCTAAATAGTCTATCTTTTCTCAAGTCTTTTAATTATTTTGGTCTAAAATTATGATGCTATGAGTTTTTTAAATATTTGCATAATAAAGTAAAAAGAATGTAAAACATTATGTAATTGGGCCTTGTCATATTGCATAAGATCAAGGGCTTTACAAAAAGACTAAAATATATTATATAATGTTACAAGTGATTTCTAAAAAGAATCACAATTAACAGTAACTTTAATCTTATTAAGAAGTCTTAAATTATCATCTGAAGCTGCATTATCTTTAGTAACAAGAGTCTAAAAAAAAATTAAAATTTTAATATTAACCACTATAAGGTGTATTAATATTTAAAATTTTTAATTTTTTTTCTTAATCACTATAAGGCATATTTAAAAATTTTTTTAATTTTAATAAAATAACTTACTTTTAATGAATGCTTGTTTTTAAGAATGCTATTAAAGTATTTAAAATAACTATTCCATCTTGTTATACTTGGTGTAACAAAATTTACATATTTTTTAAAATATCTTTTTGTTTATCATGAGTTTGGCAGTGAAATATACAGAATGATAAAAAAAAGTAACAATACAAATTGCACATTTACTTGTATTTGTAAATAACATCAATTCTTTAAATATATTACTAATGCAACAATTTGCCTGATATGCAAAGCATAGAATAAACACCTTGTCATGCATTTCATATCTCAAATAATGATGAGCTGCTGCATATGATTTAGCTAAGTCAGTTACAAGACAGTTTGCTCTTATATCCAATTTTTTTACCTCTTTAAAAAGATTATGAATTCTAAATATCACTTCTTCTTTTTGTTGTTTTTTAATACTAATATCTTCTGCTCTCCAAATTAAAGTTTCTCCTGAAAATATAATAAATACTATGCTCATTATTTCCTAATTTACAATATTGCACTAACTATCAAAAGCAATTGTAATAACAATTTTATCATTGCAAGCAAGATTCTTGATTGTTTTCTGAACTTCATTAGTTACATTTATTCAAATATGATTACCAAATGATCTGTGATTAATTAATTTTAAAAATGGAGCAATAAATTGAAATAATTTGTGAACTTCTGAATTTTCTATCCATCAAAATGCAATTCTAGTTGAAATTATAGCTCAAAGTACAAGACATTCAAACTTAAAAACTTCAGAAACATTGAGAGGATGACTAATATATTAAGATAATGTTGTTTGTTTTTTTAAAAAATTGTTAAATATGAATAATAAACTAGACAAATGAGTTGATGTTACTGAAACTAAATTATTAACTTCTTTTTCTTCATCTATATTAAATGTTGCTGCATGTTTTTTTAATATTGAAGTAGCCATGTTAATAATATTTTGTATTTGTTCAGTTGAGTACTTTACAGCAAAATAAGAACAATTTTTAAGATAATTAGTATAATAATATAAAGTATTTGTAATTCTTATATTCTTATTTTGCAAGACAAACTCTTTTCCAACTGCTTCTAAGCACACTCTACAAATACATTTTTAGTTACTTTTATTTGCCCATTTATTGGATAAAATATAGAAATATTTACTAAGCCATTGTGGTGGTTTTTTATCTTTATATGTTATAATTCACAAAATGTTTAAATATGAGAATCAGTATATTATAGAGTTAATAACTATCTAATGTTTAGGCTCAAAGGTATACTGGTTTATATTATTATAAACCTTTGGTTATACTACACTAATTTCTTTATTATTCTTCTAAGTTTATAAATCAAAATACTGCCAAAAAAAGATTAAACAAATACAAGATTTTTACTTGAACTAGTTGTGAATATGGATATATGATGATCATATAATGATTTATGCAGGTAATTAATTATGATAAAAAGTTTAAGTGCAACTAAAAAAATCAGGATTTAAAATTTAGATCTGGATAATATGATTGATTTATTTGTATTAGTTAGTGGAAAATACAGTTTTTTTTTCATATAATTGTTTTGAGCAAAGAACAATTATATATATATATTTTTAATAGATAAATTCACAAGAATCTTATTATTATCAATGCAAAAATAAAAATAAAATAAATGATCAATAACATATATGCATAAAAAAAAAATTTTTAACAATGAACTAAATAAGTATAATAGATATATATAGAATAAACTGCTAAATCCAGCAATATTTAAATACTAATTAAAGTTAGTTTATTTTTATTCAGTTTTTATCTTGGTTATATGCATTAAACATAATTCAAATATCAGAAATTGTCCAAATTGTTCTGTGCAATGTGATCAGATATTGTCTAGTAACAATTATGGCTAAACCACTTTGGACATCAGACATTACATAGAACAATTCATAAATGTCTAATGTCTGATTAAAAACCATCAGATATATAACTTGCACAACACTGTATATAGATGATACTCTTTGGGTTGCTTTATTACAAACTGAGCTTTCCAACATATTATCTATAGCTAAATCATTTTATGCTATAGCTAACATTTAAGTTAACCTTACAAAATATATTCTAGTTACTAATAACTCTTTATCTTACTATATCTATATTCTCTATAATAATCATCTTTTTCTATTAAACAACTCTTTAAATTTTTTAGGTTGCTGGTTCATCTTGAAAAATAAGTAATTTAAACAAATAAAACTGCTTATTGCTATATCTTCTCAACTTATTCAAATTGCTAAAACCAAAGTTATTACTAACTCATATGCTTATTATATTATTAACACAGTTATTATTCTTATTTTCAAATATTGTCTTCAAAACATTGTAGTTAGTTAGCCTATCTGCAATAAAATCTTTACTTAGCATATTAGCATTGTTAAACTTAAAGCTAAACTTTGCTGTACAATACCTTTAGTACTCTTTTATATTCCCAAATTTACAACATTAGACACATTTGGAATATCCAACTGCAACACCATATTCTAATTTTCTTAAACAACTTAATAATCCTGATCTATTAGACACATCAACTTGCATTTAAATTCAACAGTTACAAAACAGCCTCTGGTCTACTACCAATATCTTCTTATATTCCAATCCTATTATTAATAGTCCCAACTATCTAACTACAAACTTTAAAATTATTCAGCTTATTAAGCATATTAGCTAGACATTTTCTACTAATCCAACTTATAACATTCTATTTACTCTAAATAATGAAGCTATCTCCTTGAATCTCTTCTTTCCTCTTATCTCAAATATTCTATTTTCAAAAAACAAATTAGATATTACAAATTACTCTTTCTTGATCAACTTACTACATATAATAATTCATGCTTATTACACTATAAACATATTTTTCCTATATTAAATAAGCTTTCTAAAGGTATTGCACCTCAATGGTTTACCATTTTTGAGGATATTACAATAAGCCATTCTTATTAACATACTCTATATAATCACTTTAATCTACCTCAAACAAACTACTTTTCTTATACTACTAGTTACTTCATCTCTAATATCAAACCTTGGCTACTTATTGTTCTTAATGATCAAATAATTATTGGCAAGGTCAGAAGGCATAATAACTCTATAAGCCTTACTCTTATTACTCACTAGCACTGCTCATATTATTTCCAGTTTTTAAACCTATATCCTACTTTCCTCTCTACTACTACATTATGTTTCAGATGTCATCTTAATTCTAATACAATTGTCAACAAATGTACTATTTTGATTTCTACAAACCTGACTACAAAACTACTCTGCCATATTAACACTAACAAAACTCTTAACCTAAATACCAACTTTCTTGATATTGCATATTCTTTGGCTATTCAATATCCTTTACATATTATACCTTCTCCTTCACTAATAATCAACTTACAACAATTACTTTGCATTTTTTAGTCTAATTAACTTATTGATAGCTTACAGTCTATTGCTAATTCCAATTATAATTTAACTATCATTTCATTTTATATTAATGGTTCTGTTATCAAGCTTGATACCTCTTAATGCTCTATGGGCATAGGTTGGGTTCAAGTTAATAATTTTGCAACTATTCACTAATTCTAGATATAAATTAAACTTTAGCCATGTTCCTTTAAAGCTGAAATCTTTGCTATTCTCTCAGCAACTATAACTGCTCCTAAAAACTGTTCTGTTCATATTTTTACAGACTCACAATCTGTTATCTTTAAATATCATAATATCTGCTTATTAGCATCTAAACTCTCTTATACTCATACTTCATACTTCTTATTTGGCAAACTCTTATCAACTTCATTAACTCATACAATATTCAGCTTACTTTTTACAAAGTTATTACATACCAAGATGACCCATTTAATAACCTTGCTGACCAACTTGCTTATAGTTACCAAATACTACCCTTTTTAATATTCTTAACTAAGAACCCTTACAATCTGCCTATACTTCATTTATTGACCAATTTCCTATTAAGATTCCTATTTGATGCTATATTTGTACTATCTATTAAGCTCACATTATAACATTTTGGACATTCTAACATTATTTCTAACAATGGTTCACTATTGCTTTTAACATCAAATGAGAAGCCACTTGGCTTTACATTAATAATAATCAAAAGATATTTAACTTTGCCTGTAGTTTTCATTCCTCTATTCTAAAAACCTTTTATATTAAAATTCTCTTGAATGAACTACCTGTTCTTCACACTCTTCACAAATATAACTTCTCTTATTCTCCTCTTTGTCACTAATGCAATCAAACTAGCTTTTCATTACACTGTACTCTTTGTCCTTCTATCCAAACAATTTATCACTTAATCTCTAATTCTCTTAATTATATCTTAAATGCTACTGTTCTTGATATGTCTTTCAATCTTGTTTCTAATTTACATCAAGAAATTCTCATACTTAATAACTTTAAATTGCATAACTCTTTACATATGCCATTTCTTATTTTTGCCCTATCTGGTTTAGTTCCTATTGACCTTATTTCTACTATTCATAATACTTCTATTTTTTATTGTATAGCTACTTCTCTTTCTATTAAATTTCTTCTTCATTTAAACCAACAAATATATAAACAAATATGGATTCCATTTTGCATTTTACATTCTGTACAGTCTCAAAACACACTTATTATAAATTTAACTTATAGCTTTTTTTCTAGTCTACTCCCTATCTCAGTATCTCAAATTATTATCAAAATTGATCTTTGAACTATTTAATAGATTAAATATAATACCTCTCTCTCTTATATTATTACTAACACCCAAATTTAGATGAGCTTTGGCCACTCTTGTAGGTTTAGGTCACAGATTATATGTCTGAGTTATTATTCTTTATATGTAATTTAAAAGTAAGCTTTTTTTTATAAAAACTTCAATTGAATTTCAATAAAGTTAAAAGCATGGTCTCATTGTTAATATTTAAAAAAAAAAAAAATTTATATATTTTAATAAATATAAACAAGCTTTTTTGTTTTTTGATTAAACATTTAATTATATAGTTTGAAATAAATAAAATCTATAGGTAAACTAATTATACTTGCTTGCTACTAAGTTAATAGGATTAATAAGATTTTTCATAAACTTGACTTAAAATTGAATATTATATACTTAATAAATTTTACAAATTAAGTAGTTTTGATGTTAGATTTTTTATAATACTTTTTTGTAAAACATTCTAATTTTTTAATATATTCTGCTAACTTATTTAGTATTTGATTTTTATTATCAATATCTGCAATTTGAAGAACTTTAATATTTATAAAATTTACATATATTTTGAAATCAAAATCTTTACCTTGATATCTAGAATTAAAAATATATACAATAATAACTGCTGAATTATATAAAAAATTAATCTATTAATTTCTAGCTGTTAATAATATATTATTATAAAATTTTATAAGAATTTGTAAATTGGTTATAATTTTAATTTTAAATCTTGCAATATCTTATATACTAAAAAAAATATAATTTATTACCTTCTAACTAATATATAAAAATAATAAATAACTAAAAAATTATAAAATTTTTTAAGATCTAACTAAATGTATAATCTATAATAATTGTTTTAATATTTTTATTTTTTTTTAATTTTAAAAATTATGCTAGTACTTTATTAGGATTCTTAGAACTATACAACTTATATAGAATTTTTTAATATACAAGTCTAGTATCACTAGGCTATTTAGATGATACTTAAGTGCAATCTGTTGTACTATTTTAGTTAGAGATAGACTGCTCTTTTAATTATCATACTACAATAGAATATTACTAATCTAATGACATCTTTTTATAAAGAAACAAAAAAAACAAAAAAAAATTTTATAAAAAACAAAATTAAGATATAAAAATAAATAATAAAGAATACAAATCAAAAAATAAAAAAAAAATAAATAAATAAGA